TTTACTGAAAGGAACTGTAGCAGATCTGCTGCTTCAAGCAGGCTTTGAACATTTCTTTTAGTTATTTCAATTTGGGAAGTGTATGCGTAATTTACAAGGCCTTCCAAAATATCATGGTGAATGCCAGAGATCTTTATTTTATTTTTAAATTTTTCTTTCATGTCAGCTGTGAACATTGCCTTAAAATAATTGCTACAAGCAGCTAAAACAGCTCGGTGACAATGGAAGATTATGCCTGAAGGACACTGAAGGGTAATATCAGTAAATAATCCATCCAAGTAAAATGTTCTGAATGCATCCAGAAAATCCACTGGATGCGCTGAATCCTTGAAAAGGTAAATATAATCCTCTTGTCCTTTTAAAGCCATGGCTGCAATAAATATGAAACAATAAACGTGTTTTCAATTTTGCGTATTACCTCAAATAACCAAGGCTAAATATTCCAATCATTATAAGGACTCATCAGCATTGAATATACTCCAAAACTAGACAAGTTCAACATTCTAAGCAACAAATGCAAAATGTGGATAGACTATTTCGTAATTTATATGACGCTCAATTTAAATTCAGGGTAGCTCGGACGCGAAACGAGGCCCCCGGATTTTTCAGCAGTCCTTTCGAGAAGAAATACTGATTTGCTACCCCACTCACTCAGTCTCTGCAATCCGCCCGGAGCTGGCGGTCCGAGAGGGATCCCACACTTGGCAAACCAAGAGTCTGAGGGGTCACCCCACTCGAGGCTGGACCTTGGCCGTCTGGGCTTGGCCCCAATTCAACCTTTTTCTCTAGCTCTGTCTCCCTTTCAAGTCGCATGGAGATGCCAAGAAAGGGACGATCGAAATAGAACTGCACAGGAAGAAATCTCGGAAAAGGGAAACCTCGTGCCTTTCTGCTTCGGAAGGAGAGAAAGCAGAGGGGCCCGGTCGCGGCCGCTCCATCCCCGGCGCCCTCCCTCGCGGTCGCCGCAGGGGTTTCCGCGCTCCCCGCGCCCGGGCCCCCGGCTCGGGTTCCCGCCCGGAGACCGCCCCGCCCCGGGGCCTGGCGAGGGGACTCGCCTCGAGGGCGCCGCGCGCCGCCCGCCCGGCCCGGTGCCCGCGTCCCTCTGCCCCGGGACGTGCACAGGTGTGGGGAGGGCGCCGCTGGCTGCCCTGCGCGCGGCCGGGCCCGGCGCCCGCGCGGCCATTGTCTCCGCGCCTCTGCCGCGGCCCCCTCGGGAGGCGGCGCGGCCTCGGTCTCCCGCGCCCGGCCCCGCTCGCTCCCCGCTGGCTGGCCTCGAGCGGCGGCTCCGGCCCGCACCTACCTCGGGCGGCGGCTTCGGGACGCGGGGTGGCCCGCGGGCTAGCGGCGAGCGGGGGCGGGGGCGCCTCCGGACCCTCTGACCATCTTTGGAAGAGGCGCGGCGGAGGCTGCCTGCTAGTGCAGCTCCAGCCCACAGCGGCTCCTATTTTGGTGCCCGACTGCTCCCGCCTCCAGCCGAACAGCCCCCCGCGCGGCCTGGGCCGGGGCCACTCGCGGGAACTCCCGGGTGGCGGGCCGCGCTGCGGGCAGGGGCGAGGCGGGCGGCGGTTCCCCCGCAGCAGGTGGGACGGCTGCCCCGAGGAGACCGCCCGCGCCGCTGGCTTGCCCCTCTCTTCTTGGCTCTGTCTCTCTCTCTCTCTCTCTCTCTCTCGCCGCCACCGGCCCCCCTTACCCCCCGCCCCGCGTTTTCGCTCTGGACAAACTCTCTAAGTCCTGAATTAGGAACCTATACGGAGACTGGGAGGGGGTGCGCTTTTTTGCCTCCTTCAGTAGCTCTCACTAGCCCAGGCCCTAATGGAGAGCTGGAGAGGAAAGTGTGGAGAGAATGCAGCAAACCTAGAGGTCTGGGGGTGAGGTTGCCTTCAAAATGCTAGAAGTAGCTGCCGCTTTCCCACGAACGCCATCCCGCCTCCAGCAGAGCACTCAGGAGGGAGTCCTTGGGGCTGATTTGCACACTATGGGTTAACCTAGAAGCTTTGAGAAAAATTGGGAACAGCCAGGGCCAAGGATTCAGGTTACTGTATTTAGAAGAGAGTAGATGGAAGGAGCAGACTCCAGTCTTTCTTCATGGTGATATCCAGTCGGATCACATAAAGATGTCCATGTGCCTTACAATAAAGTTCATTTTCTTGTTCTAGCAAAAGCCAGTATCAAGTATTTTCATTTATCATTCATTCATTGATTTGCAAGATTTTATTGAGTGCCTGATGGGACTGGTAATAGAGCAGTGAAAGATGGTCCACAGCTCTCATGGAGCTTCAGTCCAGCCGCCTTAAGGGAGGAAGGAGACCAGGATGAAAGGAACACCAGGGCCCCAGTGTGTCTCTCAGAGTGTCATCTAAGGGACAGAATATACAAATGGACAATGGTCACACCATATATGACAACAGAACTCCCAACCACGTAAGAAGCACAGGAAGCCAAACCACAGCCTCTGCAGCAGTTGGACCGGAAGAATGAGGACTTGGTCAACGACTGCCAACTTCCCTATTTTTACCCCTACTTCCAACTCAGGACCAACCAGAGAAAGCCAAATATGCTCCCCAAATCCATCACATAAAATGCTCGCTGCTTCTCGTAGCCTGCTGCCTGCTCTCCCAGGGCAGCAACCTCCAATCAGAGCGCACCTGAGACCTTCCCTTTTTTTTCACTTTTATAAAGCTTTCCCATTCCCCTGCCTGCCTTCAATAAGCGATGGTGGTGAGCTCTCTCGCAACAGCAAGATCTGAATAAATAGCATCTGTTTTTTCTCATTTGGGTGGTTTTAGTTTAGTTCCACGTCAGACCATCGCAATTGAGTTATGTGGGATGCTGGTTATGCGGCACCCCTCAAACACTACCACCGCCCAGACTTCTCTGGGGTGGAGACCTAGGAATTTGTAACCAAGGGCATTAGGTGATTCTTTTGCACAGCAGAGGAAAGTATGTTGGACCCAAAATGGAAGGAAAATTAAAGATTTACTATCTCAACATCTGGTAAACAGTTCAGCACGGAACAAAAGTATATGAGATTTAGTTTCAGGCTTAAGATTCATCTCTGCCACTTGTCTAACAACCTTCTCTGATCCTTAGTTTTCTGATCTGTAAAACACAGAAAATATCAGTACTTTCTCAACCTAGCATAAGGTTATTGGAAAGATAAAACTACAAATGTGAAAGCACTTGGTATGTGGTCTATAAAAGTTAGCTTTATAAGCAAAGGATATTTACATTTCTCCATCACAGCCTCAATTCGGAAATTAGTATCTTAACATTTCTTCAAAAAATTATGAACTTTGAGGGGCTGGCCCCGTGGCCAAGTGGTTAAGTTCGCGCGCTCCGCAGCAGGCAGCCCAGTGTTTCGTTAGTTCGAATCTTGGGCGCGGACATGGCACTGCTCATCAGACCACGCTGAGGCAGCGTCCCACATGCCACAACTAGAAGGACCCACAACGAAGAATACACAACTATGTACCGGGGGGCTTAGGGGAGAAAAAGGAAAAAATAAAATCTTTAAAAAAAAAAAATTATGAACTTTGTAGTTAATTGTAATTACAGACAGTTTGTCCTTCATAACTGATAGTGCTGTTATTATTGGTATTATCATTCTAGGACACAATTGTGACCGATCGAGGATGAGGCATTCTTTCCATGTTTGTCAGTGAAGTGAGGAGATGGCTGTTTGTGGCTATGATAGCAAATTTGATGTATAGAAAATATTATAGGCTTTGCCTAACTCAAAGTAGGGGCTTCTAGAATCATAATGGCATGTGTTAAATGATTCTTGAATAATAGAATTCACTATATTGTCAATTATGCAGAGTTATTTCAGATTGCTGTAGAGACAACTAAAACTTTTGCTTCCATTGCCTGATATTCTCTGGTTGTGAATTATTGTGTAAAAATGTATGTCAGTTATATGTCAATTATATCTCAATTTTAAAAAGACGAAAACAAAGCGTTTATCAGTATATATTAGACTGCTTCAAGTTGCCAAGAGCAGTTCCTCTTTACCACATGCGTTATCAAAGAGACCACTGCAAATGCTAATAGATTTGATGCACTCAGAAACATATAATTAGCATTCATAAGTTAAATAAATTAATGACACTGTTCAAGAAAACAAATGTGCCATCTGTGAATCTAAGTCTTAAGGGAATAAAGAGCCACCACAGAGATGAGACGTAAATGACTCTTGGCAGATACTGAGCTTGGCATGGCGTTAGATGCTTTTTGACATCACGCTTCACTTTTCAACAGACTCTTGGTTTCTACTTTTTTTTTTTTGAGGAAGATTAGCCCTGAGCTAACTGCTGCCAATCATCCTCTTTTTGCTGAGGAAGACTGGCCCTGAGCTAACATTCAAGCCCACCTTACTCTACTTTTTATATGTGGGACGCCTACTACAGCATGGCGTGCCAAGTGGTGCCATGTCTGCACACAGGATCCAAACCAGCGAACCCAGGCCGCCGAAGTGGAATGTGTGAACTTAACCACTGTGCCACCGGGCTGGCCCCAGACTCTTGGTTTCTAAATATAACTATTTTTATTTATGTTTTTACCTTATTAGTACATCTTTCCACTAAGTACAACTGTGTTATTAAATGATATGCTAATTGTGATATCATTATTGGCAATATCACATCGATGTAATAAATGGTGGGTATTACATTGCTGTGTAAATGGTGGGTATATACAGAAATTTTGAATACTTCATTTACATAATGAATTAAGTTGCTGCTAAGTAAAAAAATAGTAGGTATAATTTATAAGGCCACCGCGTACAGCTGTGTAAGTTGTGCAATGCACGATTCCAGTTCATTCTACTCAAGTAGAGCGCAGTGTGAACACTATCCTCAGGTGATGTACTGTACACGACAGCACAGGTGTATGTGGCTGCCCTGGAGTTCATATGTCTTGGCAAAGCCTTTTCGGTATGCTTCCTGAAAAACGAGAAAGTGGACATTCTAATGACTGGGTGACAAGAACTTTTGCAAGTCAGAAAGTTTCCAATTTCTTGTTTTCAGCAAAAGTCAAAGAACATTTTTGACAAATAACTTGGAAAGAATCCACGAAATGAGTGGCATTGCTATCATAAAATTCCTGTCCTTCTCATCTACTTGTCCATGTGAACACATTTCCTCAGGGATCATATCTGTGGAAATGAAAAACAAGAATGTCATTGACCCTAAACTCTGTCTCCTGCCAGCAGTATGCAATACTCAGCCAAAGATATACGGCCTAGATGAAAAGAAAATGGCCTGATGCATCAGACTGAAAGAATTTTTGATAAATTTTTACTTTTGATTTAAACATATTTGTTCTTTGATCAATTATAATAATAATTGTAATGTTAATCAGCCCAGAATTTTTCACTACTTAGGAATCAAGGATATAAACAGATAAAATTTTAATTTATGTACATTTTTGTCACAGAGAAGTTTAAGAGGTGATTGATAAAAGATTGTCAAGTATAAAATATACAGACAATCCTTTCTTTGAATGGTTCCAATACGCATAAATTTCAGTTAGCAGTTTAGTCAAATACCACCAATCCCCTAAACAGGGTTCAAATTTCAATTACTATGGTATATTAACTGTAATTGCATAAAATACAAATTTCACCTCACTAGTCCTTCAGTCCACAAATCACTACATAAATAACAGATGAGCATCATAATCAGTGACCAGTCATGTCTCTTCTTTCAAAGTCATTGGTGATTGGTCACTGTGCATCTGTTATTCATTTCATACACAGACAGCAATGCTTGTAGTTGTCTTACCTCCTTGACTGCCAATCATAAATCTATGTAATATTTTACAAAAATAGATCATTGTAACAGGGCATTGGTCAACAAAAATGAAAGTGTAACACAGAATTGAAAAGTGACAATGTGTAAGTGAAATTTGAATTGAACATAATGAAGTTCTTGAAGAAATTGCTCACCGTGGAAATGTTGACACTGCCACCATTGGAGAGACTGTGGATATGCAGCCAATGGAACTTGGTGCCGGTGAACTTCGTGACTTAAGTGAGGAAAGTGATGGCTGACAAAAAGCATGAAGGTACCCCAGGAGAAGTGATGCTGGCAAAAAACTTCATATTAAAGGAACACTTGGAGACACTTCAGGACATTGCAACTGCAAAGGATAAAACGTTGGAAGCTGACCCAAACTTAGAAAGAAGTATGAGAATTCACCAAGGCACAGAAAGATGGTTGCTCTGCATCGTAAGTTATATGACAAAAGGAAGGCAAGAATTGTTCAAACTACTCTCAATAAGTTTTTCACAAAGAAATAAAATACTTTAATTCCTAATGTTTATAATTGAAGTGTACTAATTTTGGTCTTATGATGTTTTTCATTTTCCTATACATTTATAACTGACAGTTTTTGATGTTCTGACAAAAAATTTTAAAGGTCACAGGACAATTATAATTTTTCCTACTGATTATTAAGATTATTTTGCACAGTAATCTTGCACAGTCACTTTTACGGTCCTGCACTACTGTAAAAAGTGAAGACTGCCTGTATTTTCAGTAGGATAGCATTCTCTGGGAGAAGTGGAATGGAAATATGAGCTCAAGAAGGAAAAAGAGTGAGAGAAAAATTTCCCACTGGTAAAGAACAACTTGTTTACGTATTTTTAAATGAATGATGGTAGGTTTCAAATTACCACAGTTAGCTTTTACTAAACAGATTTAAGAGTTATTTAAAAGCTTATTAAAAAGTCATTATTTACAATGTTAGAAATTACAATCTTGGCAAATGTTTAAACTTATGATGAAAAGTTTTCAATATCAATCTGAAAATGACTACATAGTTTTCAAAGTTATTTTGGGAGTACTTGTTCAAAAAATATATGAAAGAGGAGTGGTCTATTCTCAAAACAAGAACCAGCCTACTTCTCTTTGGGGGTAGGGTCATTTGAAAAATAGCAGTTTATGAACCAGCCCTGACGGCCTAGTCATTAAAGTTTGGCGCTCTCACTGTTTTGGTGGCCTGGGTTTGTTTCCTGGTCGCAGGACCACACCACCCATCTATCAGTTGCCATGCTGTGGTAGTGGCCCACATTGAAGAATTAGAAGGACTTACAACTAGGCTATACAACCATGAACTGGAGCTTTGGGGAGGAACAAAAGAAAAGAGGGAGATTGGTAACAGATGTTAGCTCAGGGCAAATCTTTACCTGCAAAAAAGAAAAAAAAAAAAACCACATAGTAGTTTATTGAGATTATGTTTTTGGGTGCCATAGTTAAAGCTAAATTTCAGATAATTTCCTTCAGATAGAGGATAATAAACTATGGACTTTTCAATTACAAGCATCAGAAACCCAATTCTTCCAACTAGAAAAAGAATGAAAGTAAAAGCATTGGCTCAAATAAACCTCTAGACAGACTAATATTCTTAAATAAGTCACATCAAAACTCTCCAAGGACTCCCAATCTCATTCAGTGAAAGCTGAAGGGCTTACAATGACTCCTGGACCCCCACACCCAGCTTCTGTTCCCACCAGGAATGGCGCTGCCTTAGGGCCTTACTATGGCTTAGCTACTGTATTCCTTTTGTCTGCACTGCTTTTTTCCCAGCTACTGCTACATGACCCGTTAACTCCCCTCCACCACATTTTTGCTCAAATACCAGCTTCCCAGAGAGGCCTTCTTTTACCAACCTATTTAAAATTATCTCCCTACCCCACCTGCTATTCTCTATCCTTCTTCTTTGCTTTATTTTAATCCATAGTACTTATTACCATCTATGATATTATATATTTCTCTTTTTTATTGGTTATTGTTTGCTTTCTCCCACTAGAATGTAAGCTCCATGAAAGCAGCGATTTTGGCCTGTTTTGTTCATGGTTATATCCCCAATTCATTCCTGTATTCCGAGAACGGTGCCTGCCACAAAACATGCTCAGTAAATATTTGTTGTATAAATGAAGACACGAATGGACTAAGAATAAGACTTTCAGAATTTTCTTCAAAAGCTTGATCAAGGGCTCATAGTTCTCTGAGAAATTACATCAATGACTTAATCTACAGACATTGCCTTCCTGCAGCATATGGTCTAAAAGTTTTGTACTTTTTTCCTTTTCAAATTCAAAGCATCTGGTTTATCCATCCCTTCCTTCTCTCTCTGACATCACTCCTATCAGGTCTTTATCACTTCTCACCTGGCTTACTGCAGGATTTTCCTGTGTCAGTCTCTCCCCTTTCCTGCACACTACCCAAACACGGATTTCTTCATATCACTTCCCTTTACTTGCTCCTAAGGGCTATCTGGAAAAAATTCAAACTCCATTGATTAACTTTCAAACTTGTCCATAAACTAGCCAAATCTCACTCACAAAGCTTTATTCCACTACTCCCCAGTTTAAACCCTTAACTTCATCAGGGCAGCCCCCTCATCACTACCTCATGAATATGCTGTGCTCGCCCCCATCTTGGTTCACATTATTCCCTCCATCTGGGAAGCTCTAGCAAGACCTTTCCATCTCTCCAAATACTTTCCATCCTTTAAGGTGTGGGTCACAGTCTATCTCTTTCATAAAGCTTCTCTTATATCATAATTAATCAATGGACTGAGTACAAAACACAATGCTATATGGTCACCTGGTCCTTCTTTGACCTAAGTACTTTATGCTGATTACTAAGAAGCTTTATGAAGCATACTTTGGTATTATGAATTACATATGTACATGTCCCACCTCTTCAATCAAATTGTAAATTCTCTGAAGTGCATCATTCTTTCTAAGACATAGTCCTACACCTCTTATACTTCCACAGGTTTTTGTTTTTGTTTTTTGAACATGGTAGGCACTCCCAAAATATTTGTTGAATGAAGTATTTTTAGCCCCTCAAAATATACAATAGGATATTTGTCTGGACTTAAATGTGAAAAGGGCTAAGTCGTTGGATCCCTGAGAGAATATACTTTCATACTGAAGTGAGGATAATAAAATATTGCTTGGACCAGGTTGTGAAAAAAGTTGTGATTTTGGCATGTAACAAAATCCAGAATATGACTGCAGAGTGGTAGAAAAAATGTATACGAGCAAGTTTTCCATTTTGCACTGATTATAAAATCCTATGTGGTGGGGCTGGCCCCGTGGCCAAGTGGTTAAGTTCACGCACTCTGCTTCAGTGGCCCAGGGTTTCGCCAGGTTCGGATCCTGGGTGTGGACATGGCACTGCTTATCAGGCCACGCTGAGGCGGCATCCCACATGCCACAACTAGAAGGACCCACAACTAGAATATACAACTATGTACCAGGGGGATTTGGGGAGAAAAAAAAAAACCTATGTGGCAAACGGTATTTAGTTTAATTGTAAATATTTTTACTGGTTGTTTAGATACACGACTGAAAATTTATTATTTAAATATAAAAGACAAACATTTTTTGTTAAGTAACATCTTCCATAAACAATGGGAGTTTCTAAGAATTTCTGTGTTAGAAAACATCTATGTTAATATTTTGTTTCCATATGAACCATCATCACACAGACATCAATTTGTATGACATAAACAAGGAGGAATGACTTAGCTTTTGGCCTAGAATATATTATTTCATAAGCCCTTATGGAGCACATTGAAAAATCTGTCTACAACAGAATTATCACACTGTCCACCTAAAAAAAGAAACCCAACAGGGTGCGCAAATGACAGGATATTAGGTAAAAGAGTTCAGTCAACTCATTATTGTTAATATATTCCCCATAGCTGGTCTCACCTGAAGATGTGCCGTGGGGTTGCTAGGCCAGTGAAGGACTCTTCCTCTCACCTTCCGAAAAAAAGCAGATCTGATTATATGAGTAGGGAAGCGGCTAGAAATTCCAGTCCCATTCACACTTTTAACAGAGCTAGTCTACCCTGTCTGGTGCCTGCCTGCAGTTGCCCGTTTGATATATCAGCTGTCCCCTGAAGCAGCTTATGATACCATAAAGGAAAATCTTCTCTAACTCTCCTTCAAGGCTAATATAAACCAGAAGCTAAAAAATTCAAATGCTGTAAAAGTAAATGAATAAATGGGCACATCAGAGATAACAATGTTTAAAAAGTAGAATAAAGATATAATTATAACTTGTACTACAAAAGTAGATTTAAACTGATAGATGTGTGCCACAAAACATATAACACCTGGACAGGAAAGGAAGCCTAATATGTATCTAACAAGAAGAATGAAGTGATTAAGTATCAAAAATATTTATTAAACACTCAGATGGTGATTGCTGTGCTGTGACAAGGCGATGGACTTGGTGAGAAGGAAATTTTTATATGGGGAAAGATATTCTGGATCTGTGGCTTTAAGAGTAGCAGTATTTAGTACAATACGTACAATTGCTGTATCTTCCCATGATCCACAAATAAAAGATATGGACTTTTAATCATTAAGTTAGTAGTTCTCAAATAGGGATTATTTTATTCCCCAGGAGACATTTGGCAATGCCCGGAGATATTTTTGGTTGTCATAACTTGGAGGGAGGAGTGCCACTGGCATCTAGTGAATAGAGGTCAGGGATGCTGCTAAATATCCTACAACACACAGGAAACAGCTGCTCCGCCCCCTGACGCCCAAGAAAAAATTATCCAACCCAAAATGTCCACAGCACCAAAGTTGAGAAAGCCTGCATTAAGTCGCTTACTATACCAGGTCCCACTCTAGCAGTTTATTTCTGTGTCTAGTAATTCCTCTTTGGTGACCAAGTGCACAGGAGCTGGGGTAGGTTACTCTGTGGCAGGTAAGCTTGCACATCATCATGTTTGGCTACTTATTTGGAGGGGCCAGGCTGGATTCACTTTTAGGGGTTGAATTGACTTTCAGATTGTTTCTATGGCGCTCAGACTTGACTTATAGGCCAGGCAAGGTTGCTTTCTGGCTTTTATTGTTTTTATAGGAAATGGTGCTAGATTCAGCAGGTTAGGCAATCAAGAGGCATCTAAATATTTGAAGTATTTGTAGTAGACATGCAGAACTTAGGCATGCCCTGGGAGAATTTCTGGAAAGAGTATACCTCCTCACCCCCAACACCTCTGAATTGCTACTACTTAGGGTTGTAGGAAAGAGATCATTACAATTTTTAACAAAGTGCATCTCATTGGAGTATACCACGCTACAGCCACAGTAAACTAATACAATGCCTAATTTAGTAAATCTTCACAACAATCTTAGGACGCAGGTACTATTATTATCTCCATTTAATAGATAAGGAAATTGGGGTATTGAGAGGCTAACAATTTACCCACTCCAGGGCTAGAATTCAAATTCAGGTCTTTCTAATCCAGAGCAGAGCTTTTACACCCATGTTGCATTAGAAATTAACAGTGAGACACTACAATTTCTGCTTCTGGAGGAACAGGGACTGGACTAACCTCCCACTGTATACAATGAGAAAACTGGACAAAACATGAAATAACAGTTTTCAGGCATTGGACAACAGGCAGTGCAGTCCATGATCCCTGAGAGAAGAGAAACAAATGAAGTGAGCCCTATAATTGCCTCTATTTCTGCCTGGAGACACCTTCCAGGCCAAGGTGCAGGGAGGGGGAATCCCCAGCAGACCATGGTAGTCTCTCTGGGTTGAGGAGATGAAGGTAAGTCTAGGGAGGCAAAAGTGGCTGCAAATTGCAGGGCAGAGTACCAGACAGGAAGAAGCTAAACTGCAAAAGAGTTCCAGAAACCTGTAGGGGGGATTTCCCCTTAAGTCTATGCTTGGATACTAAGCCACACATGCATAGGCTGGAACTCTCTAAGTCTGGGGAGAGAATGACCCCAGGAACTATAAATCAAACAATTCCCAGAGTTCACACAGAGCAGAAAGATTCCTGAGTTCCCATCAGACCCAGAGAAGCACTAGGTTTGACACAGTGGGGAACAAAGAAGGAAAGGGGAAGAATGATGCTCATGTTAAAAAGGCACAGGAAAAAAAAGATGGATAGGTAGCGGGATGGATATGTGATAAAACAAGTAGAGTAAAATGTTAATGGTAAAATCTAGATAGTACGTATATAGATGTTTGCTGTAAAATTAAAGGGAATATTAGTAAAAACTTTATGTCCATAAATTTCACAGCTTACATGAAATGGACAAAGTCTTCAAGAGACACCACGGTGGTTTTAAAGTATGTCCAAAATTCTTTAACTCTCCCTAAAAGGTGGAGTCTAATTCCCTCCCTTTGAGTGTGGGCTTGACTCAGTGTTCTGTATTAACAAATAGAATATGTGGAAGTGAAGGCATTTGAATTCTGAGACTAGGCCACAAAAGGCACTATGGTTTCCTCCTTGCCCTCTCTCTTGGATCACTCACCTGGTAGGAAATTATGTCTTTAGGACACTGAAGGAGCTCTTTGGAGAGGCCCATGTGGTTGGAAATTGAGGCTTCCTGCCAACAACCAGCAGTAAGCTGAGCCTTTCTGGTAACAATCAGTGAGAAACTGAGTCCTCCTGCCGAAAGCCATGTGAGTGAGACGCCTTGCAAGCAGATCCTGCAGCCCTAGCCGACATCTTGACCCATTAGAGATCCCAAGCCAGAACAACCCAGCTAAGTGCTCCTGAATTCCTGACCCACAGAAACTGAGATAATTAATGCTTAGTTTTAAGCTGTTAAATTTTGAGGTAATCTACTATGCAGCAACAGGTAACAAATAGTCACAAACTACCAAAGCTTACTCAAGAAAAACCATTCCTGAATAGTCATATATCTATTAAAGAAACTGAATTAGTGGTTAAAAATCTTCCAACAGGGCTGGCCTGGTGGCGCAGTGTTTAAGTTCACGTTCCGCTTCGGCGGCCTGGGGTTCGCCGGTTCGGATCCCAGGTGTGGACATGGCACCACTTGACAAGCCATGCTGTGGCAGGCATCCCACACATAAAGTGGAGGAAAATGGGCATGGATGTTAGCTCAGGGCCAGTCTTCCTCAGCAAAAAGAGGAGGATTGGCAGCAGATGCCTGAGCAGATTAGCTCAGGGCTAATCTTCCTTAAAAAAATACCCAAAACCTTCCAACAAAAACTCCAAGGCTTAGACGGCTTCATTGCTGAATTCTATAAAACGTTTAAGAAAGACCACCCGTTAGTTTAATTGTTGCTCCTTTCAATGTCATCTCTTTTCCTCTGAATGCTTAATGCTTTTTCCACCTTTGATTATCGGTAGTTTTCCTATGGTGTGATTTCATATGGTTTTCTTTTTATTTATCCTGTTTGGGGTTCATAAGGGCTTTTGAACCTGTGGTTTGATGTTTTTCATCAATTTTGTAAAGTTCTCAGTCATTATCTCTTAAAACATTGCTTATGTTTCATTTTCTTTCTCCTTTTCTTCTGGGACACCAATTTCCTGTTAGATCTTACTACATCTTTTATGTCTCAACTTCTCTTCTGTATTTTCACTGTTTTGTCTTCTCTCTCTGCATCATTCTGGGTATTTCCTACTAACTTGTGTTCATTCACTAATTCTCTCTTCAGCTATGCCTGTTCTGTTGTAAAATTCATCCATCAAGATTCTAATTTCAGGGGCAAGACGGGTGGCGCAGTGGTTAAGTTCTCACATTCTGCTTCAGTGGCCCAGTGTTCGCCCGTTTGGACCTACACACCGCTTGTCAAGCCATGATGTGGCAGGCGTCCCACACATAAAGTACAAGAAGATGGGCACGGATGTTAGCTCAGGGCCAGTCTTCCTCAGCAAAAAAGAGGACGATTGGCAGCAGATGTTAGCTCAGGGCTAATCTTCCTCAAAAAAAAAAAAAAAAGATTCTAATTTCAGTCATGGTAATTTTCAGTTCTAGTATTTCCATATTGTTTATGTAATTTTCAATTCTTTCTCAAAATTCTCACGTTTAGTTTGTGTCTGAAAACTCCAATATCTGGAGGTCCTGCAGATCTGTTTAAATGCTGCTGGTATTTATTCATGCCTCTTGGTGTGGCTACTTTTTATTGTGTGCCCTACAATGTAGTTGGCAAAACTGTTTATAGATTTGAGGCCTACTGCATTAATTTTCTATTGCTGCCTAACAGTAACACCATAAACAGCATCTTAAAACACATTTATCTCACAGGTTCTGGGGGTCAGGAGTCCAAGCTCAACTACAGTCTGTTTCAGGGTCCCATAAGGCTAAATCAAGGTGTCAGGCTGAGCTGTGGTCTCAGCTGAGGCTCCACTAGGAAAAGGTCCACTTCCGAGCTCACATGGTTGCAGCATTCTGTCACCTGCACACTGTTGGACCAAGGGCCTACTTCTTGCTGTTGGCTAGAGGCCACCCTCAGTTGCTTGCCCTGTGGCCATCTCTGAAGGTCAATTCACATCACAGCTTGAGTCTTCAAAATTAACAAGGGAGAGAGTTCCTTAACAAGATGGGCATTAGAATCTTATGTAATGTAACCATGTAGACATAATCACATACATCCCATCATCTTTGTTGTAATCCATTGATTAGAAGCAAGTCATAGGTCACCCCTTCATACACACGGAACACCAGGATACAGGGATCATGGGTGCAATCTTAGAGTCTATCTGCTATACTTAGGATGTTAACTTCCTCTTGAGAGAATTTAGATTTGCTTCTGCCAAGCACCCGGGAGCTCTAAACACCCCAGATAACCTCAATCCAATCTCAAGGACTGAGAGTATTCAAAGCTGAGCTGCCATCCCTTTGAATGCGTTTACTTCTGAAGAATTCTCACTCCTAATGGGCAGCCTTTTGGGATTCTCACTCAAAGTAAGCGGAAGGGTTTATCAACGCAGGCCATATATTCCAATGGCTCTTTCTCCTGGTCCCATGACATTGTCAAGATAGCCACTCAGTCATCTTAGACACCATTTACAGAATTGGCCAACTGTTCCACGGACAAGCAGCTCACCTCCCTAGGTTTCTGAGCTGCCTTACCAATTGTTCACTGTTATCAGCTCTCTCATGTCTTTAAGCAGCTTTTCAAAATTTTAAGCAGTTCTAAAAATTTTGTTCAGCTATCAGCTTTTCTAGATGTACCGTGTAGAAGACGTGGTCTAAATTACTTGGTCTACCATTACCATAAATGAAAGTCTTATTTTTTTTTTTTACTTCCATAGTTTATAATTTGTTACCAGCCTCAACATGTAGAGAAACGATAATCAATAAGAGTCAATGTGTTTCAACATAATCTAACCTACTAATTTAAAACAAAACAAAGATTTACTTTTTCAATCTAGAAAAAAATTAGAAAGTACCAATTCTTTTCCCATTAAATTATACTGAACATTTCTATTTCTGGAGCTTTCCATAATGGAAAAGGAAATCCTAATATGATTACATAATGGATATTTATGCCTCTACAACATGAGAGTCTAGAAATTAGCATGGAATTATAAAACTTTCTAGATGAGTAGAAATTTTGCTAAAATCCCTATATGAAACAGTCTCTTATATGTTGAATATTCCTACAAATTATATATTGTATTACTCAAGACTGCATTGCCAAATAGAAATAACATACTGATTAAACCAGCATATTGGAGTTATAGTCTGTGATGCTAATATAAATTGAAAATATTTGAAGGACATTAATTTGTATTTCATTTCAAAAGGAAAGTCTGAAATTGACCAAACTTTGGGCAATAAATACTGTATCCCTATTTTTAAAATACACTGATTTAGGAGTAGGACATTATATACATTTGGGGGCCTTTTGTGCTTATGTGAATACAGCAACAGGCTTATTTTTAAGATCTGTCACTACTGGACATGCCTTTGAAATAACTATCTAAGAAAGTAGGGGCCGGCCTGGTGGTGCAGCGGTTAAGTTCGCACGTTCCACTTCTTGGCAGCCTGGGGTTCACTGGTTCAGATCGCGGGTGGGGACATGGCACCCCTTGGCAAAAGCCATGCTCTGGTAGGCATCCCATATACAAAGTAGAGGAAGATGGGCACGGATGTTAGCTCAGGGCGTCTTCCTCAGCAAAAAGAGGATTGGCAGCAGTTAGCTCAGGGCTAATCTTCCTCAAAAAAAAAGGAAAAAAAAGAAAGTAAAATATATGACTACTCCCTCTGGGAATAAATTTAAAAATATAATCTACCTATTAACCACCTTTGCAGCTAGAGACCACTAATTGCACTTACCTCTGACCTCAATTCTGTACTCCTCTTTTTCCCAGGCATATGACCATCTGTAATAAAACCTCTAATTTTCATCCTTCTTTGCAGTTAGATGAGGGCAGTGTGACTTAAATTTTGGCCAATGAAATTTAAATGAGGGTGCAACCCTCTCACTCACTGCCCTTCTTCTTGCTGGCCAGAATGTTGATGTGAGGGATGGAGCTTGAACAGCAATCTTGGATCACGAGTTGGAGGCCAAGGCTGAGGTTGGTAGAGCAACACAGTACCCTTGAGATACTTACCTTTGGAATTCTTTTAAGTGAGAAGAAAAAAAAAATCTCTCTTTTTTTTGAGCCACAGGTATTTGGGGTTTTAGTTGTATGCTGCTGCACCTCATCTTAACTGATACACATTTCAGTTGTTGGCATGTTACTCCTTTATTAGAAATAGTAAATGAGAAATTATTTCAACACCTGAAGACCAAACTACAACAGAAGATTCTGTAGGCTCAAGATTTTGAGACATTCTGGAAAGAGTTTTCTGTAAAGTATATCCTTTCCGTGGCATGGCAACATCATTCTTCTTTAAAAACATTACTGGACAGACGTCATTTCCACCATCACCTATATAAACAATTCGTGCATAATTCACTCCCTGCTGTAACTGTTTATCTACAAATTCTACCAAAACTACATTTTTGCAAAGATTTTTTGGGCATCTATTACAAGAATGAGTATGATAATTTTCCACTGTGAGAAGACCATTGCTATCAAAAGCTGCTGGATTTGTAAATACTTTATCAAACACATCTCGAAAATTGGTAGCTTCTAAAACCCAATTTATGAAGACTGAATTTGAATCTGAAATAATAATGCACTCAAATTTATCCTTGTTCTTTCTTATAAAGTTTAAAAGTTCCACCATCCCTGGAGTGAGAGGCATTGATGTCACTGCTCTTTTCATTTCATCTTCTGTTACACCTTCATCTCCCAAATACTTAAAGACTCTGCCCATAAATTTTGTCCAAAATCCCTTTTCATAAGAGTCTTGTAGTTCGATAGGAAGCTTTTTCTCTGGAGCACATTGTACAATCCTGGTGTCACTATTGTCATCTATGATTGTATGGTCAAAGTCAAAAACCAGCAAAATTTTCATGGTTCCAGAAACAGATTTGGGTTACCCTGAAAAAGAAGAAATATTATTCCTAAACATACTGTTTTACATATCTATTACACTTATTTAACAAACATTACTGAGTGTTAATCTGCTAAAACAAAGGGTGAATATAAACAAGCTAAAAATGATCAAGCATTTAAGACTACTACCTAAGCACTTTTTCCTAAGAAGGAAAGTTCATATTTGAGTATTTTAAGTGAATGGAAAAGAGAATATTTAAAAAGGATACTCAGGGGTTGGCCCCATGCCAAAGTGATTAAGTTTGAATACTCTGCTTTGGCGGCCCAGGGTTTTGCCAGTTTGAATCCTGAGCTCGGACATGGCACCACTCATTAAGCCATGCTGAGGTGGCATGCTACATGCCACAACTAGAAGGACCCACAACTAAAATACACAACTATGTACCAGGGGTGCCTTGGGAAGAAAAAGGAAAAATAAAACCTTTTTTTCTTTTTTTTGAGGAAGGTTAGCCCTGAGCTAAGATCTGCCAATCCTCCTCTGTATTCTGAGGAAGACTGGCCCTGAGCTAACATCTGTGCCCACCTTCCTCTGCTTTATATGTGGGATGCCTACCACAGCATGGCTTGACAAGCAGTGCCATGTCTGCACCCGGGATCCAAATCGGCAAACCCAGGGCCACCAAAGCAGAACGTGTGCACTTAACCGCTGCACCACCAGGCCGGCCCAGAAAAATAAAATCTTTTAAAAAAGGATACATTAGTACATTCCTGTGGGGATGATTCTTTGAGCACTCAGAATTAAACTACAGAGCAATCCAATGAGAGAAGTAATGAAACAATTATTTTCTTACAGTCTAATTTAGGAAAGTTACAACAGGAAAAAAATGTAGGCTAATCATTCTTACTGTCTTTAAATTACCATTCACAATCAAACTTATTAGTTTAAAATATTCATAATAATCCTATTAAATAAGAATTCATGTGTAATATAGATTCTCTGTGTACTAATCAAAATTCTGACCAAATTTAACATAATAGGAAACTTGCAAAATTCAAATGATTTTTCTAAAAACGTGTTAAGCTTGAAACCATCAATGCCAATGTCATAACTAAACAGTTGCTTAATGCTGTACTTGAAATTCTAAACAAATTACTTGAACTGGAGGTCAATTCAATTCTTCCAGACTAGAAGTAACTTTTGTTAATGATTTCCACATTTATTTATATTTTCTCTAGATAGTTTAGCTCTGGAGTGACAAAGAATCTGGATATATGTGAGCAACCACATTGCTTATGATATGACGATTACGTAAATCTCTGCCTTCATTAAAAGATAATGAAGATCATTAGTTATAAATCTCAAGAGAAAAGATAAGAATAAACTGGTCAACAGATGGTATGGATGAAAATTATCAAGTAAAAAAGATAATTATACAGAATACCCATAAAAAGCTAAAATTAGTGTGTATAAACAAAAAAAATTTTTTTAAAGAGTAATTAACATTTTTGGAGTTATCACTATACACCAGGCACTGGACTAAGAACTTTACAATCTCATCATCTCATTTAACTGTCACAGCCCTATTAAGTAGGAATTACTATCCTCATCTTAAAGATATGTAAACTGGAGCTTAAGTACTAGTTAAACTGGTTAAGTAATTTATTAAGTGGCAGAGCTGGAATTTGGACTCAGGTCTGCTTGACTCCAAAGTTCATGTTTTTAAGTATCAGACTCTAGTGCCTAAGAAATAGAATATTTAAAGACTATTAATCAGTTTAAAAATAAAACACTAAGTAGGTCACTTTGACAAAAAGATGCTTAATTACACGAAAACATTCATTAGTCTCAAAATACACACTAACCATGATACCACATCTGTGATCTACTTTATAACTATTGTGAGGTTTTAGCAAGAAATCCTAAAAAGAAAAGTGAAGAACTCTACCAATGAGAAAAAGCAGAAGTCAATTAAAAATGGAAAACATGGCATTTAACCACATGTATTTTCTGGTTTGTAACAATAGATATCCAGAGGGTGAAACTGAGAATAGAGCTTGCGGCTCATAGAAGAGTACGTATTCTGTGTCTCTCAATGGAGACTCTCTGGAGAACAACTAAGCTAGAAGGGTATCTCCTGTTGTGTGAATTTAGACAGTGTATAATATTTTGATACTCTAGATCCTTGTATCTCTAAATGTCTAATCCAGGTGTCTCTGACTGGCTCCCAGAGATTTAAGTGCGCAATTCACTTTCCCATAGAAACAATATAATAAACAGCAATAAGGCATAGCTGGCAATCACATCAGTACTGTAGCTAGGCACATTTTAAATTAAACGTGCTTTTTTAGCATTCTGAATTTATAAATAATTTCTAAAACTTTTTCAAATGTAACTCATTGTTGGCTGAAAACTACCTCAAGCCAAGATTTTATTAACCACAAGTTACTGAAACTCCTAAACTATTAATCTCAAAATAGTAAGAAATATCATAAGCATGAAGTTGACATAGTTCCCTTGCTGACTATTAATTTCTATCTAAAAGTGTACTTTTCTTAATTTCAGATCTTTTTCTATTAGTTTTTTCTCACCTCCAACATAAATCTTTATTGAAAATACTTACCTAACTTAAGTATTTCCAAGACAATTAATCTTACTTCAGCATACAGCTTAGGTTAAACAGTCCTGACAACCTTCAGTTTTAAACACCAGCCAGTTTCTAGCCAACAATGCTCCTACTCTATATTGGGGAACAAAGTCTTCTGATTTGGAGCAAAGGAATGGAGACTTAACTCCTAAAGTTAATAAAAGTATTTAAGACATTTCAAAATTTATGTCTTCTAATTATGCTGTTTTCTCTTTCATCAGAAAAGCACTTGCTGGCAATGGAAGAAAGAAAATTTTGATTAAACAAAAACCTTAAATATAAAACAGGGAATGTTATGTGAATGTAAGTTTTCGTCCAGTGGATAAAATCACAAGTGTTAGGCTGATTATGTTGAGATTTCCAGATTCCATTTTTTCCTTTTACTTGCTAAATGATAGAGAAATACCACATTCTGTTGTCAATAAACTTTCAAAGGTTTAGTGCTGTACTTGAAATAAAAATGTCTCCAAAAATTAAGGATGTGCACAAAGATTTGGGTTTAAGAATACAAATTTATTTCGAAAACAATTTGCTAAAATTCCAAAAACAGTTATTAACTATTCTCACCGAAAGTATGAGCAGTATATATTTATTTAGTATGTCTGCAATGTTTCCATAGTCTAACAATAACCTATGTGCTTTTCACAGTAACAAAAACTGGAAAGTTCATAGACATCTAAGAATCGGAGACTGGTTAAATAAGACATGTATGTGATAGTCAGATAACGGACTATTTACTTAGCCAGTAAAAGCTCAGATGTTCAGTTCTAATTAAACAAATTAAACGATATTCAACCACCATGTCAAGTTGGCAAATTATTGCCATCAAATCTTATAGGAGTCAATATTTTTCATAATCAATTTAGTTAAAATTCCAGAGAATGTTTGTTGGGAGGTAATTCTGCATGGGTTTCTAGTGGTTCTGCATGTCTTACAAGCAAGGCAGTCACTGCCCTTCGCTCTGGACTATTATCTCAAAAACGTATGTATGGTGAACAGCCCTGAAAGGCATGCTTATTGTCCATTATAATAAAGATTTGGGTTCCTTCAGCTCAGGGTTCCTATCCTGTAATGCAACACACTCCATAAGCAGGTCACTTCTGGCCCTCTCTGAATCATCCTGTGGGAACTGGGGCAAAAACCGCTGATAATCTGGCTACTGCTACTGCTGTAACTACTTCGTCTCTGACCTAGGGGTCTGGATCTTCTACAAAACTGTGGCAGACTAAATTGTTAGCGTGCAAGCAGGGGAAAATCTCTCACCCATCTCAGGTCTTGACATTTTTAAAACTATGCTTCCAAAAAGCCCCCCAATGTTCTATGCGCAAAAACTAATTTCTGTCAACAAACATTTTATTAATCCTTTCATACTTACCAGCATTATTATGGTAAAACACCTCATAGAAAACCTGAAGAAAAACAGTACAACCACGTATTAGTGATTACAAATCTAAACTTTTCATTTAGAACATTTCCAATTTGGTGTCTAACGTGTACCTGTCGTAGCCATCTAGCTTGTAATGAAATCATTTGAACCTCGACGTGCTAGAAAAGGATCTTCTGAAACCAAGCCTGCATCCACTCTTAACAGATTTTTGAGTCCTTAATGGTCTGACTGGTCCCCCAAATACATTCAATTTACTATAATGTATTTGCCAAGCAATGAATGTTCTGGGACAACGTCCAAGTTTCAACATTCCAGTTTTTAAAAAACTAAGCCCCATCTATCTCAGATCATGCCTTAGAAACCAAAGTACTTAAAACACGTTTTCTGTCATCAACCCCCGGGTTTCTATAGTTACGGAGGGCTTTGCCCTTCACCTTCCACCCGCGAGGATGTCTGCGGGCCGCACACACCCAGCCTAGGCCTCGCTCTCCCACACACCTGCCGGGTCCGCCCCGAAGGTAGGTGCAGGGACCTAGACGGGGGTCGTCCCCGGGGAGGCGAGCCTTGGATGAGGACGGGAGCAGCAGGCCGGTTCGGGTCCCCAGGGCTCCTCACTGACCCAGGGCGGCCGGCCCCCGCGCCACTCCCGCGTACTCTGTCCTCCAGTTCCGTCCCCGCGCCTGCCCGCAAGGGCCGCCCCACTCGCGCGCCGGGCCTCGGCTTCCTGCGCAGGCGCAGCCGCCCTCCCCCAGCCCCTACGGCCGGGAGCTGCGCGTTCTTCGTTCCTCGGCGACCGCTGCCGTCACTTCCGGCGGCGTTGCCTAGTAACTGCGCGGTTTGGCAAACATTCTGCGGGCTGGAGCCGCAGCGCTAGGCGCCGGAGTGGTCTCTCCGAGTCTGAGGGCGCCATGGGCGCCTCGTCTGAGATGCTGGTGCGGTTCGGAAGGCGCTGTGGACAGGCGAGGGAAAGCACAGGTGAGCTAAACGGGCCCATCCCGGCACAGGGATTGTTTCTGGCCCCCGGGCATGGGTTGAGAGGCGACGGAGCCAAGCGAGGACTTTGGTTACCTTCTGAAATGGGCTCCACCAAGTCGCAAGCAGCCCTGGGGGCGTCGTTGGGCTCTACGTAAATCAGATAGATTTGTTAGGTGAATGGGTAGATGGGAAAAGTTTACAGAAAACAGGGGTGGAGAAAAGATAAGTCAGAGACTCTCAACCAGCTGGTCCGATCCTCAAGTTGCGCGGTTGCAGCTCTAAGAGTCTGGTGTTGGCTGAATCCTCTCGCGCTTAAGCCTTGTTATTCGTTAAGTGAATGGGAATATCTTTTGCAAATATCAGTGATCTCATTAGAGTCTTGGCTCTGCTGTGAACCTACTGAGTGCTCTTAGGAAAGTCTCTGAGGGAAGTATCTCAATTTCCTCATCTCTAAAGAGAAGGTGAGGTCTCACCCTAAGACAAATGCTTTGATCGAGTGTAAAAAATAATGCTACTAAAGGTATTGTAATTTAGATGACTTGATAGGAAAATTTGGTTTTGGAATAGGAGTAGCCTAGTGGGATATCTAGAGAGCTCTTTATTGATTCCAGTGATTTTAACTTCTTAAGTCTGTAAATTCCCAATTTTTAATGTTGTCATGGTGACAACTAGAACCTTAGGAATTTAGACTATCTTCATGTTTTTACCTGAGCTTCTTTAGCAGTAGAGCTCCTTGGGCGAGATGCCGAGTGAGAGCCAGACATTCTCCCACCAGTGGGCACTACTAGGTGTTCATGCAGTGAGGATTTAGGAAGCAGCAGCAGAGGGTCCTGACATGTAGGAGAGAGAGTGTACCCATGTGGCATGTATTGAAAAAACACAATCACTCTTACATGTTCACTTTCCTGTATATGCAGTACTGCACTAAAAGACTTAGATGTACCTGATAGGTGTTAAATAATGTTTTCTGGCAGTTGGTCCACAAGTTTCCATCTGAATCCCACTGTTAAATTATAATCTCCATTTAGAAGAGGGTGAAGTAGGAGAGAGGTTCAGATATGTAGACAGCTATCTGTAAAACATGTAATTATCTAAAGATCTAGTGGAGTGACATCAGCCAGAATGGTAGAATACAGGTGTTGACGAAAATAATCCATAACCAATCTATAAATGAAAATTTGGGTCGGTTTATTCTGAGCTAAAATGTGAGGATTATAACCCGGGAGAGTCTTTCCACAAAGGAACAGAGCACTCCCAAGAAGTGGGGGTATACAGGGTGGTTATATACCCTCAAAGAGGATGTTTCACATATGATTGATATGTCCCTTTTACGATAGTCACGAGGCTGCTCTGTCGGCACAGTGATTGATGGAAACAGCAGATAGGTCTGCTGTCTCGATGAACACAGCAGGGTGGCAGGTCTGTTGCCTTGAGCTGGGTGGTCACAGATGAGCGCTGCAATCAGTTCCCAGCCTAAGGAAAGATGTTTAATCTTTAAGGAGATGCCAACGTTGGGAGGGGGAGGGAAGTTGCACCTTTATCTCAAAATGTCTAAGCAGATATACAATGCATGCTCAATGGCCACAGTCAGGCCCTTTTGGAAAAAACAAAGTCAGGCCGAATTTCGGTTTATACCAAATGGCTTCCTCATATACTCTAATATATCCTATTGCTTGCCATTTCAATTTGTCACAGGTATCCAAAAATCCTCTCCTCCATTACATCAAAAAGAATACTAGCAAAAATTGTCGAAATCAGCTTTCTGAGAACTCAGGAAATTAACCAAAGGCTTGCAACAATTGGGGGATTTTTTTAGCAAGTGAAATAGGTGAATCTTGGTAACAGCATTGAATTTTTTGGCATTTTAACTTGCCCTAGTCTGATACTTTTCTCCCAGCCCTGTGGTAATCTAGAAAACCACTGCAATCACAGTGAAATCCAGTGGCTTAGCAACCTGTGGAGGGGACAGAACAGGGTTGAACCCCCTTCACAGCCCATTTCCCAGATAACTGTTATTATTTGACCTGTCTGGCAGTTCATTGGAAAACCCACTTGCAAGGCTTGTCTTTGTTTGACCTGACTCAGAACTCACTGGGTATGTTGTTAAAACAATCAGTGTCAATTTTTTAACATCACGATTGCCTGAGGTAGTCATAACAGTTGGGTGTAAACAACAAACTGACCAAAAAACTTGAAAGAAATACCTGGGACATGAGATGTCCATAGTGGGCTTTGAAAAGCTCCCTACATATTCCTGGGAATCCAAAATGCCAAATGTATGCATAGGGCTATGCACATTCCCAGGAAAGACCTGAGAATGCCTGAAGCTTTCACCTCTGGCTGACTTTCAGGCTCTATGCAAGAAAGAAGTAGAGCTCAAGACAGAGTTCTAAACTTTGTGTGAGCATTAAAGTCATGCTGCACTACTCACAGAGAGTTCCTTGTCAAAGGGTGGGAGACTTCTTTAAGGAAACAAATTTAAGTAATTTAAGGGAACTGTGTCCAATCATTAGCTGACAATGAAGCTAACCAAGCTGAGATTCCAATAGCCACATACAACAAAGAATACAGACGTTACAGATTTAGTTCAGGAAAATCATTAAACAAACAGCAACAGCAACAACAACAGCAAACTCTGGCTGTGGGCGAAATCTGACTTCCAGAGTTGCCACATATTATTTAAAGTGTACAGTTTTCAACAAAAATGACAAGGCGTGCAAAGGGAAAATATGGCTCTAATACAGGAAAAAGATTTTAATAGAAACTGTCCCTGAGGAAGCCCAGTTGTTAGACTTACTAAACAATTTGCTTTCGTAAATTTATAGCTATTGTAAATATGTTTAAAGAACTAAAAGAAGTCAAAGGAACTAAAGGAATGTATTAAGAATGCTGTCTCAGGGGCTGGCCCGGTGGTGCAGTGGTTAAGTTCACACACTCTGCTTTGGTGGCCAGGGTTTGCAGGTTTGGATCCTGGGTGTGAACCTATACATCGATCATCAAGCCATGCTATGGCGGCATCCCACATCCAAAGTGGAGGAAGACTGGCATAGATGTTAACTCAGTGGCAATCTTCCTCAAGCAAAAAGAGGAAGATTGGCAACAGATGTTAGCTCAGGGTCAATCTTCCTCACCACAAAACCCCACAAAAAACAAACAAAAAAAACAAGAACCCAAAAAACCCAAAACAAAACAAAGAATGCTGTCTCACCAAATAGAGCATATCAATAAAGAGAGAGAAGTTATAGAAAGAAACCAAATAGAAATTTTGGAGTTGAAAAGCAAAATAATTGAAATGAAAAATTCGCTAGAGGGGCTCAATAGTAGATTTGAGCTTGCAGAAGAAACAGTCAGTGAACTGGAAGGTATGTCAATTGAGATTATCCCATCTGAGGAACAGAAAGAAAAAAGAATGAATAAAAATGAGCACATCCTCAGACAAATATAGGACACCAGCAATTATGCCAACATAAATATAATTTGAGTCCTAGAAAGAGAAGAGAGAAAGGGGTAGAAGAAAATATTTGAAGAAGTAATGGCCAAAAACTTCCCAAATTTGATGAAAAACGTTAATCTACGTATTCAAGAAGTTCATTAATCCTCTAAACAGGCTAAACTGAAAGAGATCCAGAACCAGACACATCATGGTCAAACTGTCAAAATCCAGAGATAGAAAATCTTGAAAGCAGCAAGAGAGAGATGATTCACTACATACAAGTGAGCCTCAATAAGGTTAGCAGCTGATTTCTCATAAGAAACTATGGAGGCTAGAGGCAGCAGGTTGACATATTCAAGGTATCGAAAGAAAAAGACTTAATTTTACATCCAGCAAAACTAAGATATTTCCAGATAAAGAAAAACTGAGAAAATTCATTGCTAGCAGACCTACCCAACAGTAAATACTAAAAGGAATCCTTCAGGTTGAAATGAAAGGACACTAGAGTGTAACTCAAATACACATGAAGAAATAAAGAGCACCAATAAAGGTAACTGCATAAGTAAACATGAAAGAAAGTATAAATGTATTTTCTTTTTGTAACTTTTTTTTCTTCTGATTTAAAAGACAACCGTAAAAGAAATAACTATAAATCTGTGTTTATGGGCATACACTGTATAAAGTTGTGATTTGTATGACAGTAGTGCAAAGGCAAGGTGAGAGAATGGAACTACATAGAAGAAAAGTTTTTGTAAACTATTGAAAATAATATGGTATTAATCTGAACTAAATTGTAAAACTAAGGTGTTAATTCTAATCCCCAAGGTAACCGCTATAAAAAAACTAAAAAAATTATAGTAAAAGAAAGGACAAGGGAATTAAAATGGTACAATAGAAAGTATCTACTTAACACAAAGATGAAGTAATGGAGGAACAGAGGAACAAAAAAGCCATTAAACAAATAGAAAACAGCAAAATGGCAGACATAAATCTTGCTTTACCAGTAATTACATTAAATATTGATTAAACACTCCAGTCAAAAGACAGAGATTAGAAGAAT